TAAATAATGCTGCAATGAACACTAGTGTACAAGTATCTGAGTCCCTGTTTTAAATTGTTTTATGTATGTCCTAAGAGTAATACTACCGGGTCATATGATAATTCTAGGTTTAACTTTTTGAGGAGTCACCATACTACTTTCCACAGCAGGTGTACCATTTCAAATTCCCATTATCTATGTACAAGTGTTCCAGTTTGTCTACCTATTCACCAATACTTACTGGTTTTTTTTAATGAGAGCCATCCTAGTAGGTATGATGTGGTATCTCATTATGGTTTTGATTTGTATTTCCCTAGTGACTAACAGTATTGAGCATCTTTTCATATACCTACAAGTCATACTTGTAGATCTTCTTTGGACAAATGTGTATTCAAGTCCTTTGCCCATTTTTTAATTGGGTGGTCTTTTTTGTTGTTGAGTTTAATATTTAGAATATAGAAAGAACTTCTAAACTCTTAACAGATATATTTTCTCTCATTCTGTAGGTTCTCTTCACTTTCTGGATAATGTCCTTTAGTGCCAACATGCACAGTCAAATATGTCTATTTTAATCTTCACAAGCAACAAGCTTGTGTTTTCGGTGTCCTAAGAATCTATTACCAAACCCAAAGTCATGCAAGTTTAGTCCTAAGTATGGTTCTAAGCATTTTATGATTTTAGCTTTTATATTTGTTTTTCCATTTGAATTTTTGTATATGGTGTGATACAGGGGTCCAGCCTCATTTTTTTTACATGTGGAAATCCACTTGTCCATCCCAGCACTATTTGTGAAAAGGATTTTTTTCCCTTTGAATGGACCTGGAACCCCTGTCACAAATCAACTGCTCATAGATGTATAGACCAATGAGACAGAATTGGGAATCCAGAAATAAATTATACATCTATCCTTATGCCAATACCATCCTGTTTTGATTACTATAGCTTTGTAGTAAGTTTTGAAAGTATGAGTCTTCCAACTTTGTTCTTCTTTTTCAAGATTATTCTGACCACCAGGGGCCACTGATAATTCCATATGAATTTGAGGATCAGCTTTTCCATTTCTGTAAGAAAGGCTGTTAGAATTTTGATAGGGATTATATTCAATCTATTACCTTGGGTAGTATTTTCAGCATATTTATACATCTGTTTGTTGAAGCCAGGAAATGTTTTTTCTTAAAAAAAGAATCTTTTGTAATTTATCTATTGGAGGAATATGAAATGTTATGCTCTATTACTTGGATCCAGGAAAAAGTTTTGTTTTTTTTTTTTAAGATTTTATTTATTTATTTGACACAGAGAGAGAGAGACAGTGAGTGAGGGAACACAAGCAGGGGGAGTGGGAGAGGGAGAAGCAGGCTTCCCACCGAGCAGGGAACCCGATGTGGGGCTCGATCCCAGGACCCTGGGATCATGACCTGAGCCGAAGGCAGGCGCTTAATGACTGAGCCACCCAGGTGCCCCCAGAAAAAAGTTTTAATGTGCCAAAACTAAGAAAAAAAAATATACTGAACAAACCTATTTATGGGGAAAAATACATTTTTTTTAATAAATTGATTTGCATCCTGTCATAGTTTAGCCATATTAGATTTATACTTCCAGTTGCCATTTTAAAAGTGAAACATAGCTAATAGAGCTCTCTTATGCTAAGAATTCTGTGCTTTATATAAAAGGGCCTCAACATTTGATTTTTAGGGTGACAGCTAGAACAATTTTGAACTACTAAAAAGGAAAGGTGTATCTATCTATATAAGGAGAGAAGATTGGTGATTTTTATGTACAAGGTAACTCCTATTTTAGCAAACATTTGAGTAGCATAGAGGCAGTATAGCATAATGGTGAAAGCATAGGCTGAGTCAAACTTTCTACATTTGCCTCCCAGCTTTACTATTCACAGGCTATATAACATGGGGCAATTAAGATCTATCTGCTTCAGGGCGCCTGGGTGGCTCAGTTGGTTAAGCGACTGCCTTCGGCTCAGGTCATGATCCTGGAGTCCCGGGATCGAGTCCCGCATCCGGCTTCCTGCTCGGCAGGGAGTCTGCTTCTCCCTCTGACCCTCCTCCCTCTCATGCTCTTTGTCTCTCATTCTCTCTCTCTCAAATAAATAAATAAAATCTTTAAAAAAAAAAAAAGATCTATCTGCTTCAGTACTCTCACCTATAAGATGGGAATAATACTTACTTCAAAGGGTTATGAAAGTTATTTTATATTTGCATATAGTCAGTGTTCACTAAAATTATATGCAATAATTTATACTATATAATTATATTCAATATTTTATGCCTTTATTTCACTTTACTATTTATAAAATATTTTTAATATTCTTAACATTCTTTTACCTAATCCCTAGATTAATCCTGTGAAATAGGAGATATTATTAGCCTCCTTTAACAGATAAAGAAACTAAAATTCACAGTGATTGTGACACACCAAAAGCATATTAAAGATCAAAACATATAAAATTTTAGGTATGCAAGATAAGTTCTAGAGATCTGCTATACAGCATTGTGCTTACAGTTAAGCTTGTAGTTTAAAATTTTTTTAAGAGGATATATTTCATGTTATCTGTTCTTACTACAACTTAAATCAAAACCTATAAAACCAGATCTTATTAGAACCAAATAATTGTTTGTTAAGCCTGTATTCTTTCCACCAGAACAAACTGCTTCTACTTTCTATTTAAAGTGAACAGTAAGGACAACATAAAGTGAAATTATGTAATAAAAGAGAAACTGAAATAATGAATTTTTATAGCAATCTACAGAGAGTTAATTTCCTTTTCCTATGGTCAACATTTGTTTCTTCTGGTTTTCAAAAGAGAGAAAGTATATTACTCCTTGTAAAATTCATATAGTGGTTGGCAATTGGCTGAATGTTGTGGGATCATATTTAAAATTTGTACTATTCTGATTTTATTATGAATAATCACAATTTATCCTAAGTCTTATAGCTCTGGATGCAAGCACTTCAATGATGAGATATGCTTGCATATTTGCCTTTTATTTAAATAGATCTTGATTATTGACTCATATTTGAAGAAAATTTATCTTGTTCATTTTCAGAACCTCATAAATGTAAGTAAAAATGAAACATTAACAGACGTTTTTAAGATTCAACAGTACAATTTAGAACATAAGATACTTTAATAAACCTATTTTAACTTAGTGAACCAATTATCTAGTTAGTAAATATTTGTCTATGCATGAATTTTACTATTATCAACCACTACTAAAATCAGAGGCATTTAAAACATTTTGATTAAAGTTATGGCTTTGAATTAGATGAAGAAGAGATAATAGAGTTTGGGAAAGGGATTTCCACTGCCTTCAAACAGATGTCATTTGAAAGAAAACAGTACAAGTGCCATGTGATTGGAATAACAAACATTGAGGCATGTAACACATGCACACAGAACTCACAGCTTAATAAGAAACATCTTTTGTGATATGGCATTAAATATAATCTTACTTATGGGCAATATTTACATACTTACACCAGAATTAAACATGATACTAGAGATTTTAGCTATTGTGAAAAAAAGAATTGCTGAGTTTTCTGAATTTTAATTAGTTAACAATGATGTTTAGATTGGTCATTAGTCAACTAAGAGGTAGTAAATGTAGTTCAATTAAACTATGATTCATAAATTCAGCAGTTTAATAGCTATTGAATGCTCATTCCACCTCAGATATTATACTAAATATTAAAAATGCAAATACTTAGAAAAAAGACCTTAGAATAATCTTGAGACCGATATTAAACTCAATAGGTGCAACTGAAAAGAGAAATGAAGTTAGTTTGGTATAACTTGTCCTAGGAAAGTCATCCTAGGTACTAATGATCAATTCATTTTAAAAATTCAGCTAAAATTATTGTCAAAATTTAATAGACTCTATTTTTTAGAGCAGTTTTAGGTTGACCGTAATATTGAGCAGAAGGTATGGAGAATTGTCAAACATTTTAGACTATATTGTAAATTGCTTTATTTTCATGTTTTGAAAGTCATTTATCTGCAGAATTTAATTATTTTTCTTGTGCTACAAAATTATTCTTTTAACTGAAGCTAAATTGACTCATAGTTCCAGTGAAGTTATAGGATGGCTTATTATTTTAATAATTAATGTTAATATTTTACTATTTTTTCCAGTGGGTAAATGATATACAATTCCAAAAACATTCACACAATTACATAATAATTAGGATGGGGAAATTAAGTTAAATTCATAAATATGGTTGCACCAAATAAGTTCCTAACTGATGAAAGATTTACAAATAAAGAATAAAACTATAAAAACATGAGAAGTAAAATAAGGTATGATACAAAAATAATCTAGGGGTGGAGATTTATCCCTGGGCAAGATATAAAATCCAAAAGCTGTAAAAGAAAATATATTTGTTATATAATATTTGAAAATTATGTAAGTCTAGAGATGCCATAAACAAAACTGTACATTTCAAGTACAACAAAAAACTAAATAGAAATTATAATTCTCTTTAGCAAGTAAGGATCTTATTAAACAAGATGAAAAAGGAGGAAGATCTATGGAGACTATAGGCCAAACTATTTAAAGATAATTCAACAAATATACAAAATCCAACAAATCAAAAAAAAAAAAAAGAAACATCAACACACACAAATTAAAAATGTAATGACAGAATTGAGACACACAGGAAACAAGAAGTGATAAAGTGTAAATTTATATAAGAAGTTCTCCCAAGGTGAAAATGAAAAGTAATAAATATAACAGATGAAAGAATGATCTAATGATGAAAGAACCATCTGAAAAAAGCACTAGCCAGATTAAATTGAAAATAGCTTGGAAAAAAAAAAAAAAGTCTCCGTGTTCAGATAAAAGAGTTTCACCCTAGGGATTCTAGGGAAAAGAGAAGGACTCATAGACACAGAGTAGGTCATCAATTATTAAAAGCCTACTCTGCTGAAGTTGCTCTTCGGTGAGCATTCACGTGAGATTCTAGTATCTTCCCGCACTGCACCCATTCGGAGAAGTCTATCCACATACCTCTTCCTCAGACTTCTTGTTCTCCAATTTGCAACATGGAAATAAAGACCAACCAAAGGAAAAAGCAGAGGCTTTTCTTGATCTTGCTATACAGCAAGGGAGTCAGCCAGTATGACTGGCATTTTGTCAGTCTCAAAGACAGGCCTAAGAGTGAGAAAGCTGCATAGTGGAAATAAGGAAAGGCTTCACGTATGCACTGAGTGGAAGTTGTTGGTACAGAGAAGCTGTAGATAGGGTGCTCCCCCTTCTAGTTAGCCCATGTGATTGATTAGGGGTGCATATTTGGCTTTCTCTGATTGGTACTAAGTTGGAAGCAGGGACAAACAACAGGAGAGCTGTCAATTATTAATCAAGTCCTGGCCATGTTGGTTCAGTTGTCACAGAAATTATTGTTTAACTGCCTGGATTGTTACCAAAGATAACAATCTGCCTCCCTATAAATCTGATTTACAGCAGGCTGGTTTCCTGAGCTGTTTATTGTAGATAACAGGGCTGGTTTCCTAGGCAGATTTCTTCAGAGTGTACATCAGAGTTCTATTTTTATCCATGGTCTGACCATTCTTCATTTATATATTCAGTTTCTCAGTACTGTGTTTGTCCCAAGTCCTGGAGCATCAGGCCAAGCCACTGACCACTGTTACTGGGTTAGTGAAGATCCTGTTTCTGGCCATAACTACTTCCAGGCAAAATGTGTACCAGGTATACTACTCAAAACGCTCTTCAGGGAGGAGTTTCCCCATTTACTTCTGTCCTTCAAAACCACCCTAGAGTGCAGCTAGATTAGTACTGGCTTAATCCAATTTGGGGAATTGCCAGCATAATGTGCAAAAATATCTTAAAAATGCTCCTATCTTTATTTTCTTCCTAAGTCAGTTGGTCATAGGGAATTCACCATGAAGACACAAATGATGTCATGAGGAAAACATACAAACAAAAAACAATTTGACAAGAATAGGCATCTAGGCAACTTACTTATGTAACTTATTTGTGCTATCAGGGCTTGTTTGAGCCTAATCTCAAATATACCACTCACATTTGACATTGGAGTGTTGCTGTGCACACCCAACCCCATGTCTTGGGTGTGTCAGAAAATACCCAATTCATTATGGTCAAGGTTTATTCTCTAGTAGCCCTAGTAGCAAGCTAGAAGTCTACTGCATCTCAAAAGGAGAAAAGTTATCTGGAAAGATGGCATGGCTTTGCCTCAAAATCTCAAAGGACTAGGATAGGATTCACCTTTACAAGTTTGCCAGAAATTCCATATAGCATTCCTAACTGCCACAAACACTCCAAGCACCACCAGATTTGCTGATCTTTTGGTGCAATGATTGAACCGTTTGTATGGGAGTTTGTATTTGTTGCAATCTTTTCTTATTTTGAGTCTCGCTCAAAACAGGCAACCTTGTATATTATTTGGTAATTGGTTTGGAGTTGCACACTCCAATGAGGAAATATGTTGCTTCCAAAATCCAAAGAGCTCCATTAAGCATTGTGACTGCTTTCTTCATGGTAGGGAAGCAGATGCAGCAAATTGTCCTTCCCCTGAAATAGATAATTCAACCTTCCTGAGATAACTGGACACCTACAAATTTCACTAAGGTTTTAGACCTCTAGATTTTTGGGATTTCCTACTTTCTGGTATGCTTTTTTCTTAATTTTTCTAAAGTAGTCCCAACTTCCTACTCTTCAAATACAACGAATATGTTATCATCAGGGTAATGGACTAGCATGATACCCTATAGAATAGAGAGATGGTCAAGATCCCTGTGTACTACATTAGGACTTAGAACTGGTGCATTGGTACGTTTTAAAATAGTAGAGTGGATGTGGGTTGCCGTCCCTGCTGAAAGGAAATGGTTCTCCATGTTGTTGTTGTTGTTTTTAACAGGCATAGAGGAAAAAATTGTTCATGAGATTAATAACTGCATAACTGCATTGCAGGTATTGAGGAGTGCGCTGATTTGCTCCAGCAATGAAACCACATTTGAAACAAAAACTGCAATTGTATCAACTGAATACATTTATGATAATCCACGGTCATTCGCCAAGGACCACCTTTCTTCATCAGAGGTCAAATAAGTGAGGTGAAGAGATAGGGTGGGAGTCAACATTCTTTCATCATTTTTGTTAACAGTAATCTCTGTAGTGCGTTTTGGAATGCAGTATGGAATTTGCTTTGTTGTTTTGATAGAGTTGGTGCTGGTAGCTTCCACTTGGTTTTTCTTGTCATTAAAATCTACATTCCATGAGTCAGGGAACCGATGTGGGGATTTTATAAGTTTGAATATGTTTATTCAAACTATACATTCTAGAATTAAGGAAATAACCACATGGTGGGTTCAGGAACTTCCATGAAGTAGACCTGAGCCAAAATTCTATTTCTTATGCTTCACATTTTTCATCTGAAAAAAAAGTGGAGTGTGACAATAACATCTACTGTAAACTGTTGAGATATGAGAGGACTATAAGGGATATGCTTATCAAGTTCTGGCACTTAGTAAACCTTAAAAATATTCGTTTCTTTTTTAATTTGAGGTCCATAAAAAATATTTTCACTGTGGTGATAATTATTGGCAGTACAATCTTAAGTAGAAAAATTAAAGTTAAGAAATCAAGCCAAAAACAGTTATTTTTCATTCTAAAATTCTGACCTTAGAGATTAATCTTCAATATAATTTCAGATTTTAAGTTTTTAAAATGTAAACAGTTAACAGGTTTATTTAATTAAAAAATAAAATTTATTATAATGATTATAAAATATGTATAGCAATATTTTGGGGGAAAATGCAATGTAAAATTTATCATTATATCAAAATACAATATAAATTTTTATCATGGACTGAGAGTAATTTATTTTGTCCAAGAAGGACAGTTAGAGCTGAAGCAAATCTAGTCTCTGAGGCTCATCAGTGAACAGGAAGGAGTGAGATTAAAATAACACATGAAGAGGGATGCCTGGGTGGCTCAGTCAGTTAAGCATCTACCTTTGGCTCAGGTCATGATCTCAGGGTCCTGAGATTGAGTCCTGCATTGGGCTCCCTACTCAGTGGGGAGCCTGCTTCTCCCTCTGCCTTCTGCTCCCCCTGCTTGTATTCTCTGACAAATAAAATCTTAAAAAAAAAAAAAAAAAGAATAACACATGAAGAACTATTGTCATTACTTGGATACATATGAGGAATTAAAAGAGAGCAGTAAGAACCAAAAATGCAGCATAGGAATGGAAGTGAATATAGGAGGAAAGACTATCTGGAGTCTGAGGGTGAAAGCAGAAGGGAACAAAAAAGTTCCCTTCATATTTTATATTCAGCCAGTCAGCTTGTCCAGTATGACTCTTCAGAAATATCCTTTTTGGATTATTCTCTTTTCTGTTTCCACCGTTACCCTTGGTAACAGGTTCCTCTGTATTACTCAGAAGAAGATAGAGTTTTCTGAAATAAGAAGAATCACAATTTAGGGGCTGAACACACCCAAACATAATTTCTCCCTCATGTGTGGCATGCTGAGGGTAGAGCATTTCTCTTCTAAGCCACAAGTCAGGGACACAGAGCTTCAGATCACTGTGGTATCATCCATCCAGAAGACTGGGAAAGGAGAATGGGGGAGTGGTAGTACAGATACTATGTTACCCTCTTAGAAGGGACACTTTCCTTCCACTCATTTGCCTTGGCCTGTACTAATCATATGGCAGATATAAATTCTATGTAGGTGGCAAACTATAGAGACGCACATGGATAGTAGTTTCACTAACCTTTTCTTCCACTCTATCTTTACTCATTTCTATCTAACTAAGATAGCTTTGTTTTAATTTTCATGACAATTTTCTCCTCCAATTCTAATCTATATATTTTCTTTAAAATTCTCATTTCTCAAAAGTGCCTTCATTAACAACCTATTACTACTAACTAGGGTGAAACTAAACTCCATATCCTGATTTATAAAAATCTCCATATTCTGGTTCCACTTTGCAAACTGGGCCAAATGATAACACAAGACATCTACTCTGTGACTTCTGCACATGTCATGCTACTTTAAATCTTACCCATGCCATCCTATTCACTGTGATGATTGTTTATGTGGATAGGAGGAAGGCTATCAACATTAGGAATTCTGTCTGGATACTAAGAAGACTTCACATCTAAGGAGATCCCTTCTACCTTCTACTCTTGATTTCAATCCAACCAGCAACCAGCTTTCCTGAGCTTTGTGGCTGTGACATTAGTAAGAACATGGCACCTGGAAACCTAACACAAACACGACAGGCTCTGCAAGATCCTGGAACGAGAGAACTGACAAAAATTATATATATATTTATGTTTTCCCCTATGAAGTAAAGGCCAGACAGGAAAAACCCTAAGAGGAGGGTCAGAATAACACAACTTCTTAAGACAAAGCTTGGATGAGAAAGGCCAGTGCTCATCTCTAAGCATGTCCATGAAAGGATTTTCTGGTGTCCTAGACCCCTAGATAGCTGCTGGGAAGGACTGGTAGTCTGAGTTATTTCTACTACTGAGTCAGAAGTAGCACCAGACTTTGCAGATGAGAAGTCCAGAGAATAGAAAGACTGTATCCAGGAGCATAAAGGGATACAATGAAATTCATGAATGGATTCTGCCAATCCACAGGACAGAGTTTTGTTGCCTCTCATTACTCAGGAGACTGTCACCTATTAAGGATCTGCAGGTTCTTACATACCGAGAGTGGTATGTAAGTAGGCAATATAACCCAAGAGAGCCCAGCAAACAGAAGGAAGAAGAAGAAGAAAAAAAGAACACTCATAGTATATAGTGAGCTGGAACAGCTATGTGAGAGAATAATGTGAAGCAAAATAAATAAGAGCACTTAGGATGATTCAGTTATAGTACAACATGTTTTTTAGAATATATAGGTAGGTAGATAGTGAGATTAGCTAAGTATATGTGCTATATGTTTTATTTGAATTAAACCAGAAAAATGGTCACTGAATTAAATTATAAAATGAGGCTCAAATTAGGAATTCATTCAAATTAAAGAAGAATTTCAAAGCACACAGCAAATAGAATTACAGGAAGAGCAAAAAACAACAGATAGAGACAAGGATTAAATAAATAGGAGAAAACATCCTTCAGCTGGAATAAGATCAGATTCTGTAGATTAAAAGGCTTCATGGAATTCCAAACAGGATAAATGAATAAAAGGGAAACACTTAGGTATATTGGGATATAATTCTTTAACTCTAGAGAAAAAATTTTTGCA